GATCTGTGAGTCTGTTGGCTCGGACATAAGCTCTGTAATAAATGTAGTCATACATTTCATAAGAGGTGTAAAAAGTTATGTGCTGTTGGCCTGGTAAGCAGGCCTATTGTTTTGGGATATTTGTGGAGTTAGGAGGTCCGTGAGGTACATGGCCCTAACGTGTAAAGTTATACAAGCATTTCTACCAGTGCTTTTCACAAGTAGACTCTTGCAGGCCAGAGTAGCTGGAGTGAGTCAACAACAAAAAGACATATCTGAGAAGTGATCAGGATGAACAGAAAGAGGAAAAGGAAAAGAGAGTACAGTGAAGAGACCAGGAGGGTCAGAGCAGGAGGAAGAGGAGGAGATGAAGACATTAGTGAAGAAGAAGAAATGTATGTGAGGAATAAAGATGAAGTGTCAGAAAGAGGGACAGAGGCAGGGATCAGGAGGCAGATGAAACTCCAGCTGGACCATATGGTACGTTTGTATTCTCCTTGCATACATATTCCATGCAGCACAATCTAGCGGCTCTTTGTATTTACACATATTTATTGCAATGTGTTGCTGCACAGGTCACCTTTATCTCTCTTAAAGGTTACATGTCATGCTTTTCCGGTTCTGACCCGTCCCCTTGTGTGTTATGAAGGTTTTTCTGCATGTAAACGGTCTGCAGAGCCACAAACCCTCAAAGTGCACCCTGTAGCGAGTAAAACTCTAACACAGAAAGACCTGTCTGTGCTGCCCCAGAACGCCTCGTTGGACATTTATCTTTTTCCATTGTTTTCTTCCTGAGTACAGTGACGTGCCGATACCCAAATGGACCCATTGGTCCAAATGTAACAATCCGCGGAGCCGTTACACACTCAAGCTTTTCTCAGCTGCAGCTCCGCCGATTTCTCCTCCCTGAGACGGCGGGACGCAGCGAGGCTGTGAGTCTGTGTGTGAGCACATACTATACAGAGATGCTGTTTGAGAAACCAATGTTAGTTTGGAAAATTGCACAATATAAATATATTCTAGTAGACCTCAACAATGGAATTATGATCAGAAGAAATGGCCATGACATGGGACCTTTAAGAGATGGGTGATGTCATTTGTGTACTTAATTATAACTAAGTACTTTGACTGTACTTGCAGTAAGCAGAAATCTAGGGTGTCATGAGTATTTTCTGCTGTTTTATACTATATTTCAGTTTGTTTGTCTGAACATCTTGTTTCTCTTGTGCATTAAGAATACTTGTGTTAGGGTCTGATTTAACAATAAAAAGGTTATATATACAGTATCAGTGTTTCCCACAGATCTGAAATATACTTGGGGGGGTGGTGGTACCGGGGGGGGGGTGAGGTGACGTGCAACAACATGAACCTTTCTGTTGGTCGCTTGTTAGCAGACCCTTCACGCCATGGCAGAGCGAACAGGTACAGGCAGGGCGTGATAGCCCTATAGTTTAAATCTAATAAACATATGGACATGGGTTACTATTTAAAAGAAATGGTAAATGTATCTAGGAACCTATCAATGTGATTTCAAATCCTCTAGGGGGGTCCGGGGGCATGCTCCCCTGGTAAGATTTTTTTTTTTAATGTTGGAGTTAAATGCATCAATCTGGTGCATTTTGAGGGCCAAATAAAGAGACAGGCCACATCATGTGGACAGCCAGTCACCCTGTGTGAGGCAGGCCACTTAACAGGCCAGACAATCGGGAAACCCCCCGGTCCTCGCGAGGGATCATTGTCCACAAGTTAATCGATCGCAGATGGGTCGCGGACGGAAAAAAAATGTATAAAAAAATAATTTGGGTCGCCAAATATACTTGGGCGGCCGTTAATATACCTATGCCGTTAATTATAGTCTATGTGTGGGAAACGCTGAGTGTAAAATACCACGTACTGTCGGCCCTCCCATGCCACCCTGGCATGACCTCTTGCCCCCCCTTTGCCACCCCATGTAAAATGTTCTAGAACCGCCACTGCAGCCGCGTTACCAATTGTAGTTGAACAATGCCGACAAACAGCTTTGGTTCGGTCCACCTGTCTTTGTCCGTCATCCTTGTACGTAACCAAAATGTTCCCAAACTGGAGACTTCAATGATGCTGGAGGAGCTCAACTTTATCTGCGTTCGCCATTTCCTCAAATTACTGACTAAATTTGAACGCATCCCTGTGACCAGCTCTCATAGTATGCCTCTCGTCCAATTAAATGACTTGGTCGCTCTATGACGCGTTGAACACAATGTGAGCAAATTACACTGAATGCTGCGACGCAGCACCTGAGATTACTTCCAAGAAGTTGTTCACGTTCTCAATTTGTTACGTTTAACGTTATATTCGTTCAGTATACTTCGGTACACACGTGTACCGAACCGAAGGGCCCGTACCGAATAATTTTGGTAGGAATACGTATACCGTTACACCCCTACATTAAACATTACCACATTCTAGATCACCTACACACCAGTGAAGTTGAGTGTTCTTTCCATGCAAAAGGTTACATTTAGATGTTAACAAGCAACATTACTTTGTCAGCTTTCTTATTTCAATGTATTGAAGGCAAAGATTATTTAACACAAAGTGAGAACTGCTTCTATTTATCTCTTTATATTCTGTATATGTGGTAAAAGTGATGATTTCAGTGAGACAACCAAACAGAGCAAGCTTCTACAGTTGCACTTAGTTTTGATAACAGATACATATTATTTTGATAATAAAACATATTTGAATGTTGATGAACTTCATTCATAATCTGATTGCCTTTGTAGCTCACTGTTGAAAAATGGATTATATCTAAACACAATCACACCTCTTTCATAAATAACACACTTGCTCTGCAATAATGTCATGTTTTATGTTTCCTCTCATTTCTGTTAGGAAAGGACATGCCTGAAAGACACGACTCAGCATTTCTCCTTCTCCGAGGGTCAAGAAGAACATCCACGGGGAAAAAGAAGAGCTGATGTTATGAGATTTAAGACCAGCGCAGGACATTCACTAAGACGCTACACTTTTATTGTGAAAACAAAGACCTGAACACTGAATAGTTTTGTAGTCTAACAGGACCATCATTTGTTTGTGACGTTGCACCTCAGAGAAGGTCTGGTTATTGTCAGGCCTGATCAAATGCACCTATTTCCACATCTACACTTGATCAGCTGATTATTTCTATTCGCCTCACTTTATAAGCTTTACATTACAAAATGGTGCCAATCTTCAGTCAGGTGTGATTGTGTTTTTTGTAAGAATAACAGACAAAAGGTGTGGAAATACCATATGTGGAAATATGTGAACCAGAAGTTATCAAAGTTGAACCATCATAAATGTTTTAAATAACAACATTTGGTCAAATAAAGTGACAGACAGGTGGTTACAGCTTCGCCCACTGTCAGACTGGAGGAATGAGATTTCTGAATCAGTTTCTTTTACTGTCCTTTCTGTAGAGGAAGTAAAGAAACCGTAACTCTGTTGTTTGAGGTGCAATATATGACTCAGCAGCTTTAAAGGTCACCTATCATGCTATTTGTAGGCAGTAGCATTGGTCTCAGATATAAAAAAAATATAAAAAACATGTTTTGGTCAAACAACCAAACAGATCACCCATTCTAGCCATGCCTCATATCCCTCTATTTCAATTTCTGTTTCAAAAGTGCTGATTCTGGGTATACAAAGGTCTCTCTTGAGAATGTGACCCTGTGTCTCAATGAGATGTTCACCTGTATAAATAAAGGCTAAATAAAAAATGCTTTTTATAACAAATAAGAGGGGGTGGAGCTTATGCCGGCTCATGCGGGACCTGGCAGATACTGTTTAAAATGCTGCGGTGATGAAACGCAAGGATTATTAGAACAAGGATTATTTCTGTATGGAGCTCAAAGGCCTTCTCTCGCCGGTTACAATGTGAGTTCCTTTTTATAAAGAGAGAGTGAATAAAGAGAGTGAATATAGAGAGTGAATAACGAGGGAACAGACCTGCTCTGTGGATCTGAAGCTGAGGCTGTAAAACAGCGTCCAGTAGTTTCCGGTGTCTCTCGTTCTCCTGTTTTGAACGAGACAGTTCCTCCTCGTACTCTGCTATTGTTCTTTCAAACAGAACAAAGATGTCTTCAGCAGCTGCAGTGAGTCGCTGCTTCACCAACGAGAGCAGCACAACACTCATGTTTACTAAATCACCACTTCCTGTTCAACACACTGTTTCTCTCTGAAGCTTCAGTCTCTGTTAAACACACTGTTTCTCTCTGAAGCTTCAGTCTCTGTTAAACACACTGTTTCTCTCTGAAGCTTCAGTCTCTGTTGAACACACTGTTTCTCTCTGAAGCTTCAGTCTCTGTTAAACACACTGTTTCTCTGAAGCTTCAGTCTCTGTTGAACACACTGTTTCTCTGAAGCTTCAGTCTCTGTTGAACACACTGTTTCTCTGAAGCTTCAGTCTCTGTTGAACACACTGTTTCTCTGAAGCTTCAGTCTCTGTTGAACACACTGTTTCTCTGAAGCTTCAGTCTCTGTTGAACACACTGTTTCTCTGAAGCTTCAGTCTCTGTTGAACACACTGTTTCTCTCTGAAGCTTCAGTCTCTGTTAAACACACTGTTTCTCTGAAGCTTCAGTCTCTGTTGAACACACTGTTTCTCTCTGAAGCTTCAGTCTCTGTTGAACACACTGTTTCTCTCTGAAGCTTCAGTCTCTGTTGAACACACTGTTTCTCTCTGAAGCTTCAGTCTCTGTTGAACAAACTGTTTCTCTGAAGCTTCAGTCTCTGTTGAACACACTGTTTCTCTGAAGCTTCAGTCTCTGTTGAACACACTGTTTCTCTCTGAAGCTTCAGTCTCTGTTGAACACACTGTTTCTCTCTGAAGCTTCAGTCTCTGTTGAACACACTGTTTCTCTGAAGCTTCAGTCTCTGTTGAACACACTGTTTCTCTCTGAAGCTTCAGTCTCTGTTGAACACACTGTTTCTCTCTGAAGCTTCAGTCTCTGTTGAACACACTGTTTCTCTCTGAAGCTTCAGTCTCTGTTAAACACACTGTTTCTCTGAAGCTTCAGTCTCTGTTGAACACACTGTTTCTCTGAAGCTTCAGTCTCTGTTGAACACACTGTTTCTCTGAAGCTTCAGTCTCTGTTGAACACACTGTTTCTCTCTGAAGCTTCAGTCTCTGTTGAACACACTGTTTCTCTGAAGCTTCCTGAGCTGCTGTTCAGCTGGACGGCAGGAAGCAGAGGTTTGGGAGGATGATGTCCCTGATGCTGTTTAGATTCCTCCAGCACCACGGGGGGTCCTGTGTGGATGGCAGCTCCTTCCTCAGCAGATCCAGTTCTCCAGAATTGTCCTAATAAAAGAGAAAACAAAAGAAAAATAACAAAATCTATTAAATTTATTAACAAATGATGATTTCAAAATGATGACCATGACCATCCCTAAAGGATTATTTAAAATTCCGTACTGTTTTTTTTTTTTTAAATGTCTATATCTATACAGAACATGTCTCTGAAGTTTTTGCTCAAAATACCAAACAGACCACCCTTTGTAGCCATGCCTCATACATTAGTTACACTGTAAACACATTGTATTTCATAATGACAGGAAATCATATTAAATTAAACTAGATTAAAGTGCTCGTGAATTGTCAACGGGGGTTCTGTGATTCTCCAGATTCTGCTGCAGCACCCCTACTTCCCGCGGCAATGAAGTTAAACCCAATACTCACATTTATCAGTTACTCCTCACGTGCTGCCTTTCTCTCTGAGACCGGACCGACATTTTCTTTGTTTCCTCGTCACCGGCGCGCATTGCATCCTGGGATAAGGTGGGCTGCGAGGAAGAGGACTCTTCAAATCCGGGAAAAGAAGAAGGCCGCATTCCAACCCGCCCCTCCCCCCTCTCTTCTGTCTGTCCGCAGAATCAGAAGTCCTTTATTGATCCCACAGAGGGACATTAACATGGTTACAGCAACAGTGGAGATAGATGCTGCTCCCAGACCGTAGTGGAGGAATACAGGGGAGGACTCTCTGCAGTCTTCCCGGACTGAAGCACCAGGCTTCGGCTTCAATAACCCACTCTGAAATGAGGCAGACAGGCAGGCTGTTCCTTGGGAGGTCGCTGTGTTTCCTCAGGACTTTGTTATACAGCTAACTGGAGACAGACTGATCACTGCTGCTACTCCCGCTCTCTTCCGGACACACACTACGCTCGCTCACTCTCGCTCTACACATGCACGCGCCAAATGCACACGCTACCCCCTCTCTCTCTCTTAAAGGGATAGGCGACCTCACTCTGCATGACCCTGCTATTATAAGATAGATAGATAGATAGATAGATAGATAGATAGATAGATAGATAGATAGATAGATAGATAGATAGATAGATAGGTAGATAGATAGATGCATCACATTCATGAATTAGAGTGTTTGTATCAGACCTTAGGTAGAGGCTGTTCTGTAGTCAGTCAATAAATGAAATAACAAATAAAATAATGTTGTTTCACATGGAAGTTGGTCACCAAGAAGAAAGGACACAGGGAAAATGCCATTTGAGGGGGGGGCTCGCCAACTATTTGATATTTAAAATAATGCAACTTTATTTATATTTTGTGGTGAAGTTTATCCAGCAAAACAAGTGCATGTATTATTTACATGTTGGATTGTTTATTTCTAGTCTTTTCATTTCTCTAATGTTCAATGTCTTGTCTTTTTATGCTGCTGCCACACAAACATTTCCCTAGTTGGGATCAATAAAGTACTTCTTATCTCATCTTATGTTATCTTAATAACACGCAGGCCTGTTCCTCCTTGACTGCTATTCGGTGCTTTTATTAACATGCATTGTAGTTTTAGAGGTGAAGGTGCTGGTATTTGTATGTTGCTATTTGCTTGTAGATGTGTCTTTACAACTGTTGATGTGTTGTTTATTTGTAATGGAGGTGCATCATGTTGTTCTCTCTTCTGAGGCTGAAAATATGAATACATTCTGGAAAACTTTAAGAAAGAGACAGGAGCTTCTGAGATCCACGTGTTTTAGAAATGGACATTTTCAAAAACCTCAAATATACAGTTTCTGTTGGTGAGGAACAAAGTGAGGGTCAGTGTTTGACTGTTAAACTACAGGGTGTGTGTGTGTGTGTGTGTGTGTGTGTGTGTGTGTGTGTGTGTGTGTGTGTGTGTGTGTGTGTGTGTGTGTGTGTGTGTGTGTGTGTGTGTGTGTGTGTGTGTGTGTGTGTGTGTGTCTGCAGTCTGGATCACGACAGCCACATGAGTGACGTCCAGACTCTGGCCATGCTGTGCAGTGTGTTCAGAGCTCAACCCCCGCAGACGTTTACTCTCTAAACGGACATCACTTCTCTCGATCCTCCGTCTTCCCCCCTCACCACTCTCGATATGTAACTGAATATGAAATATATGAAAATACTGGATAAATGAAGCTCATGAGTAATGATGTTGAACATATGATAGCTTTGTTCCGATGATTAACAGGAGGATTCAGCCTAGGGAGATCAGAATCAGAAACAGGTTTATCACCAGGTAGGTTCACACATACGAGGAATATGATTTGATGTCATTTGGTGCAGACATAAAATATAAAACAAGAACCGTTTGGCCCCCCAGAGCATTCCGGTTGCACCTTGGGACCCGTTATCGTTTGTGGGGTCCGTTTCCGCGGTTCTGTTACGGCCTCGTGTGAACGAACGGGCTATACGCAAGAGAAAAGTAGCGGATACAACCTGTTTCGTTCTCGTGTAAACACCACCTGAAGCTGTTGGGAGGTGTCATGATAATTGTCGTCGCTCTCGCCAAGGCTGAGTTGGTGGTGGGGATACAGCAGTGACTGATTGAAGAAGTGGTTTGATTTCCTTCATCAGCTCCTGTGCGAGTCCTTGCATCTGGGATTTCACATCATCCATGATCTCTCTCTTCAGTGTCTCTTTCCAGCCTTCTGCCTGCGGCTGGTTAGGGGGGACTTGTGAGCCACTAAGCAAATGGCATGTTCCCTCTGGTTGAGATCTGCCATATTCAGCCTCGAGCAGTAGCGCTTCCTGGCGTATTGCAGCAAAGCCCTCATCAGGGTTTCGCCGGGCGTATACCTTCAGGGGCTAGAGGGCCTTCACACAGCCCGAGCAAGAGCTGGTCCCGCAGGACGACATCGGAGGGGGCGTCACGTGGGTTGTGCCGCCGCAGCCTGCAACATAGTTCTCTCAACCTTAGAATAAAGGATGGCACTGTCTCATTTGGTTTCTGTGAAGAGCTAAAGAATTGTGACCTCAACACTGGGGTAGGGGTTCTATCGCCATAAAGGGAATCTAAATAACAATATCTGGCGGACCTCATTCTTCTCATTGTCCTCAAGGACACTCACCTGGCGTTTAGCTTCCCCAGCAAGCGCTCCCAGCACAATACCAACTTTACTAGCTTCAGCTAATTCTTGTGAGCCCAACAAACCTTGTATTTGTGCCTTCCAATCTTGGTATTTTAAGTCATCACCTGACCCATTGAATTTAGGGAGCCAAGGGGCACCGAGATACACAGGCATCATCATGGTTAAAAACTAAAATGTGCTTAAAAGCTATGCTAAAAATGGTGCTAAAACTATGATACAAGCTAGGCTCCTGATTACCACAGCTGCTCTCAAACCCAATCCTGCCGACAACGCCACTTTATGTAAAGGAGGGGGAGGGGTAATAATTTAAGGAGAGGGAAAGGGTTCTTTTAAATCAGGTGGAGAGCAAAACTGGGTAATCAAGGAGCCAACTACTAAGTTTAAAACACAATAATTTATTCAGTAGTATAACATCTTTACTAAGAAAACTAAAATCAGAGCTGTCTAAAATATAATCTCAGTAAAAAGATAGTCTAAAACTATGTTAAAATACAATTAAACGTAGTTAGGTAATCAAGGAGCCAACTACTAAGTTTAAAACACAATAATTTATTCAGTAGTATAAAATCTTTACTAAGAAAACTAAAATCAGAGCTGTCTAAAATATAATCTCAGTAAAAAGATAGTCTAAAACTATGTTAAAATACAATTAAACGTAGTTAAAACAATACAAAGAATTCAAAGGTTAAAAGTATTTTCTCAAAACCAGTCTTTCCAGGGCTGTAAAGGTGCTTCGTCGACCCTCTCTCGGACTGCCGTGTCTTTTAATCCCTTTGTTGCGTGTGCCTCTGCTCCTGGTGCGTTCTGCTTCTGCTGTCTCCTTCAGCCTCTCTCAGTTTCCGTCTCTGCTCCTGGTGCATACATATACATTGCCATGTGACATCTGTATTGAAGTCAATGGAGAGAGAAAGATTATCTTTCGATCCCGTTCGAATTGTGTCACGAATTACACATATGATGTTTGTCAATTTAAAAGATAATTTTGCAAGTAAAAAGAAAAAAAATGTGTCGTAACCGCTCAATGAACTACATCTCCCGTCTCGCACCACACACCAAGATGGCCGTCACGTTGGCACATTTCACTTCTTTCTTTCAGAATGAGGCAAAAGTATTAAACGAGGAGAAAATCACTTAAAGTCTGGGCACGTTGAGAGCTGTGCACACACACAAGGGGAGTTAGTTGGTTCCGTGAGAGCCAGCATGCGGGATCGGGACTCTGGGATTTGTAGTCTTTCTAGTTGTGTATCTTTCATAGTCTTATATTTCAATCGTTTTACGACAAACTGTGACTTTTTTTACGTGGAAATTATTTTTTAAGATTGACAAACATCATATGTGTAATTCATGGCACAATTCAAACGGGATCGAAAGATAGGTTTTCTCTCTCCATTGACTTCAATACATAATTTTTCCGAAATAAGGTCCCATGGGTCGGAAGTAGATGGGCGGGACTGCTATGGCGTTATATTTGTGCCTCTATCCTGAGCACGCAATGAAACATGTTGAGCATAGAAAATGCTATTGAGCGCGCACTTGAACATTTTTGAGCAGAGAAATATATTTTCTCTCATAAAACTCCTGCTCTGTGCGCAAGCAGACCGCTGCACGCGCTCTCTCTCCCTCGCTCGCTCGACCTCTCCAGCCTGTGCGCGCTCAGCTTTGCCTGCAATCACTCAAGTTGTCACAGCGTTACAAATGTGCCACAAAACCATTGACTGTATATATAAATGGACGTAGGGTCCGTGACGTCACCCATAGGATTCTGCAGACTTGCCGAGAAGCCCTTAGTACAGGGTTGCCAGTCTCACGCATCTGGCGTGTGACACACGCTTTCACTCTCAATCTCACGCTCTCACGCTGCCCAAACTATTCTCACGCCATAAACAAGAATACCGAAGACTAGAAATGGTTTTGAAAACTTTTGTCACGTAGTGATTGTCTTCGCAATAGAACATCTTTGATAATGTCTTCTGGCCAATCAGAATCAAGATAACGGCGTGGAAGTCCCGACGGAGAATACTTTTGCTGTAGTACATCCCTATATACATCGATACAACATTACGTGTTGATAGAAATCAACACGTAATGAAATAAGACCCCATGGTTTGATGATTGATAGGTGTGTGGGCTGTCTTTCATTTTGACACACAGAACAATGGGGGCTATCCACCCTATCCACAATGTAAAGTAATTCACACACCCTCTTCTCTCTGTGAGGAGCAGCAGGTTCAGCTTTCAGAACAAAGTAACAAAAAACTAAAATGGTATTCATTTTTTTAAATATGTCGTGTAGTAATAGATGTATTTTTTTTTTTTCTCAAGAGAGTACCAGAATGTGTATTTTATGTTAGTATTTCAAAAAATCTCCTGGGGGAGAATCTCCCCAGACCCCCCTGCAGGGGTTGGGTTTTCAGCATGTCAACTCTTTCACTTGTGGGGAAATTGCAGGATTGGCTCCAGGTCGCCCTTGTTATTTACTACAAGACAAATGTGCCTTTTTATATCATACAGTTCAATTTGGATTGAGGAAATAATCTAAACCTCACGCGTGGCGTTTCACTGTCAAGGGGAGCGTGTATGTAATTACATTGCAAATACTGACTTGAGCCCCACCACTGTATGGGTTAGCCCTACCATAGATTACCCAACACAAATACTCCGTGGCCGCCACTGCCGACCCGTATTGCGCATGTGTAGATCTAAGATCCAGTAGAAATGATAACAAGTAAAAGTTTGCTGCTTATTGTTCTACTAGGCCAAAATAGAGTCAAAGAGTATGAGAGTGAGTGTGTTAATTAATATATTTGGCAGTTTGGAGTAAGTCTGT